TGGCTGGGGGAGATCTGGGAGGCAGGGCAAGGCCCAGGTGTTCCCGGCGGCCCTCCTCCTGAGTCCCCGCTCACCCGCCGCCCAAGGACGCCCAGTGTCTCCCGGGCTGGCTGGCTGCCTGGCGAGCGCGCGCCGGGTGGATGGCCCACCCCTTCCCGCCCTGGGCAGTTGCCTCCGATCCCTCACTCGCCCACCACCCAGGGACGCCCAGTGTCTCCCGGGCTGGCTGGCTGCCGATGCTTTGCCATGATCGATTCCCTGCTTGGGAAACCGATCATGGCAAAGCAATGCTTTTTTAACAGCTGATCGACGGTTTCAAAATGGCTGCCCGCTGTTTTCTGGACGGATTCCTCACTGAAGAGGCACTGAAAATGGCCGCCCCTATGGAGAATCTTCGCTGAACGGTGAGTTTTTGCCCCATAGGAACGCTTTAAACAGGGTTTAATGAGTTCCTATGGGGTTTTTTGTTCCGTTTAGCGATGTTTCCGGATAGCGACGTTAATCCTGGAATGGATTAACGTTGCTCTGCGGGGCACCACTGTATTTTAAATATTGTAAGCCGCCCAGAGACCTTTGGGTAATGTCGGCGGCATACAAATAAAATAAAACAAACAAACAAAAAAACAATTATTTTGTGGCTGCTGTCGGATTGGTGCCTTGTTGTGGCGAAGGGGTTTGAATAATTCAGAGAAGCTATGGGCTATGCCATGCAGGGACACCCAAGATGGACAGGTCATAGTGGAGAGTTCCGACTAAACGCAATCCACCTGGAGCAGAAACTGGCAAGCCACTCCAGTATCATTGCCAAGAAAACCCCATCGACAGAAACAAACAGCAAAGATATGACAGTGGAAGATGGGCCCCTCAGGTCGCAAGGCATCCAACTGAGGAAGAGCGGAAGACAAGTACAAGTAGCTCCAGAGCTAATGAAGTGGTCGGGCCAAAGCCGAAAGGACGCTCAGCTGTGGACGCGCCTGGAAGTGAAACGAAAGTCCGATGCTGCAAAGAAAAATACTGCATAGGAACCTAGAAGTTAAGATCTATGAACCTTGGTAAGCTGGATGTGGTCAAACAGGAGATGGCAAGAATAAACATTGACATCCTGGGCGTCGGTGTACTAAAATGGATGGGAATGGGTGAATTCAATTCAGACAATTACGGTGTCTACTATTGTGGGCAAGAATCTTGTAGAAGAAATGGAGTAGCCCTCAAAGTTTGCAAAAGAGTGGGAAAGCTGTACTGGGATACAATCTCAAAAATGACAGAATGATTTCAATACGAATCCAAGGCAGACCTTTCAACATCACAATAATCCAAGTTTATGCACCAACCACCCATGCTGAAGGGGCTGAAATTGACCAATTTTACAACACCTTCTAGAACTGACACCAAAGAAAGATATTCTTGTCATTATAGGGGACTGGAATACTAAAGTAGGGAGTCAAGAGATAAAAGGAACAACAGGTAAGTTTGGCCTTGGGGTTCAAAATGAAGCAAGGCAAAGGCTAATAGAGTCTTGTCAAGAGAACAAGCTGGTCATCACGAATACTCTTTTCCAACAACACAAGAGGCAACTCTACACATGGACATCACCAGGTGGGCAACATCAAAATCAGATTGATTATGTTCTCTACAGCCAAAGATGGAGAAGCTCTATACAGTCAGCAAAAACAAGACCTGGGGCTGATTGTGGCTCTGATCATCAGTGTCTTATAGCAAAATTCAAGCTTAAACTGAAGAAAGTAGGAAAAACCACTGGGCTAGTCAGGTATAATTGAAACCAAATCCCTTATAAGTACACAGTGGAAGTGAAAAACAGATTTAAGGAACTAGATTTGGTGGACATAGTGCCTGAAGAATTATGGATGGGGGCTCGTAACATTATATAGGAGGCAGGAACAAAAACCATTCCAAAGTAAAGAAATGCAAGAAAGCAAAGTGGCTGCCCAATGAGGCCTTACAAATAGCAGAGAAGAGAAGGGAAACAAAATGCAAGGGAGATAGGGAAAATTGCAGAAAATTGAATGCAGACTTTCAAAGAATAGCAAGGAGAGACAAGAGGACCTTCTTAAATGAACATTGCAAAGAAATAGAGGAAAATAATAGAAAGGGAAAAACCAGAGATCTGTTCAAGATAATTGGAGATATTAAAGGAACATTTTGTGCAAAGATGGACATGATAAAGGACAAAAATGGGAGGGACCTCACGGAAGCAGAAAACATGAAGAACAGATGGCAAGAATACAGAGAAGAATTATACCAGAAAGATCTGGATGTCCTGGACAACCGAGATAGTGTGGTTGCTGACCTTGAGCCAGACATCCTGGAGAGTGAAGTCAAGTGGGCCTTAGAAAGCATGGCTAACAACAAGGCCAGTGGAGGCGATGGCATACCAGTTGAACTATTCAAAATCTTAAAAGATGACGCTGTTAAGATGCTACATTCAATAAGTCAGCAAGTTTGGAAAACTCAGCAGTAGCCAGAGGATTGGAAAAGATCAGTCTACATCCCAATCCCAAAGAAGGGCAATGCCAAAGAATGTTCCAACTACCGTATAATTGCACTCATTTTACATGCTAGCAAGGTCATGCTTAAAATCCTACAAGGCTTCAGCAGTATGTGGCCCGAGAAATCCCAAGCTGGATTTCGAAGAGGCAGAGGAACTTGAGGTGAAATTGCTAACATGCGCTGGATTATGGATAAAGCCAGAGAGTTCCAGAAAAAATCTTCTTCTGCTTCATTGACTATGCAAAAGCCTTTGACTGTGTGGACCACAGCAAACTATGGCAAGTCCTTAAAGAAATGGGAGTTCCTGACCACCTTATTTATCTCCTGAGAAACCTATATGTGGGACAGGAAGCAACAGTTAGAACTGGATATGGAACAATTGATTGGTTCAAAATTAGGAAAGGAGTACGACAAGGCTGTATATTGTCCCCTGGCATATTTAACTTATATGCAGAATACATCATGCAAAAGACCAGACTGGAGGAATCCCAAACCGGAATTAAGATTGCCGGAAGAAGTATCAACAACCTAAGATATGCAGATGATACCACTCTGATGGCAGAAAGTGATGAGGAATTAAAGAACCTCTTAATGAGAGTGAAAGAGGAGAGCGCAAAAAATGGTCTGAAGCTCAACATCAAAAAAATGAAGATCATGGCCACTGGTCCCATCACCTCCTCACAAATAGAAGGGGAAGATATGGAGGCAGTGACAGATTTTACTTTCTTGGGCTCCATGATCACTGCAGATGGTGACAGCAGCCACGAAATTAAAAGACGCCTGCTTCTTGGGAGGAAAGCAATGACAAACCTAGACAGCATCTTAAAATGCAGAGACATCACCTTGCTGACAAATGTCTGCATAGTCAAAGCTATGGTTTTTCCAGTAGCGATGTATGGAAGTGAGAGCTGGACCATAAAGAAGGCTGACCACCGAAGAATTGATGCCTTTGAATTATGGTGCTGGAGGAGACTCTTGGGAGTCCCCTGGACTGCAAAGAGAACAAACCTATCCATTTTGAACGAAATCATCCTTGAGTGCTCACTGGAAGGACAGATCCTGAAGCCGAGGCTCCAATACCTTGGCCATCTCATGAGAAGACTCCCTGGAAAAGACCCTGATGTTGGGAAAGTGTGAAGGCAAAAGGAGAAGGGGATGTCAAGAGGATGAGATGGCTCGACAGTGTCATCGAAGCGACCAACATGAATTGACCAAACTCCAGGATGCAGTGGAAGATAGGAGGGCCTGGTGTGTTCTGGTTCATGAGTCAGACACAATTTAACGACTAAACAACAAACAACAAGTTGGATTATATTAATATTTTCTGATACCCACCTGAAAAGTTAACAAGGCAGATTTAAACACATATAATGTATTCCTTTCATGATTCCTCCAGCAAGATAATGGATGCATAGCACAAGCCCCATTATTTATACTTATACAAAAACATTTTAAAAACTAAAACTAAAATCAGCAGTACAACTTACCTACAATTAAATCTTCATCTTTAGTAACAAACTTTTTCTCTGTAAGCAAATCGGTTGTATGACTGCTATCTCCATCATCCTTTATAAGTTCATCTTTGGAACCATAGCCTTGATCTGACTGACCACCTGTGAAAAAGAATGCAGCACAAAGTCTAGCCAGTTTCCCTTAAATTATAGTTTCAATTCTTCCTATTTTAAATTACAAAATGGAAGCATGGTTGTATTACAATTTTAGATTTTTTTAAAAGTGAAAAATAACTACACAAAAACACAGGGACTATTTGGAGTACAGTACAATGAGAAAAAGAACAGCAGCAGAGATGCCATGAAGGGCTTAGTGGAGATTTGATACATGTGAAGTATTTTTGGTGGGACATTGCAGAAAAGGTGAAATGGAAACTCTCCATGGAGGAATGCAAACCATTTCCATTTTGCATAAGAATGTGTATCCTCTCAATCTTCTTCCACAGCAGAAATTAGTTATTTGACTGCTGTTACTTGTCTGTATTTCAGTACAAGACACACCCATTTTGAATATATCTGTCATCATCTCTACTGTGCCTCAAGGGTTTATTGTTTGCACTGTCCCCTTCAGGTTCTAATTAGGGCTTTTGTTCTTCTCTAGGATCAGCAGAAGCAGAGATCTCAGAACAACTTGCAAATGATCAGTGTGAGAAAGTGCTATGGTTCCCTTTGTTCAACCCATTAGGTGCATGAACATGGTCAGAAGCACAAAGGCATGCAACTTGATCAAGAATCGAAGCAAAGTACCATAACTCTTTATGAGAGGGATTGCTATATGACAAACTAGCTTTTTTCTTTATCTGTAGGGGAGTAATGTAACACAGGGATGCTGATCAACAAATTAAAGGGTGTCCTCTACAAAGGTACAGAGGATTATGTAAATTAAGTTACAAAGACACTTCACCCACTCCTTGTGCATCAACTGAAAAAATAACCCATTAATAAATGGGGAGATTACCTGGAGTGGTTAACATTCAAGGGCAGAATTAACGCATATGTGCCTCCAAGGCTTCCACCACTCAAGTCTGCACCCCACACCATGACAGCCAAGGACAAACGCAGCACCAAGAGAAACAGTACAGAGCAGAAGCAGAGCAACAAAGATCAGAAAGAAGGAATGTTTAGTCACCTACTACACAAATATAGCAAGCCACTCACACTGGAGAGAGACTAGGAAGGGTATCAGAACAAGGTCCTCTCTAAGGTGTTCACCTGTGTGCCCATGTGTAACCCCGCCCCTCCTCGCAGGGTCCCTCCTCCTCTGCACACCCATAATAATTGTTTTCAGCTCCTTTGGTTCAGATTGCAATGGAACCCCACACGTGGGGGCAGCATTGCGCATGAGAGGGGCAGAGCCCCACCCAACAGGGCTGAAAACTAGAAGGAACATTGTATCAAAACAAGGAAAGTTATCGGACAGCTTAGTACAGAAAGTGAAATAAGAGAAAAACATTTACATCTACAGGCTGTGAGGAGGATCTGTGCACAACAATGCTATTACTTTTAATAAAGAAATGATTTTATTTCATTTGACATGCATAACCTACATCTTTTGGAAGGCCGAGTGAGAGGGCAAGACAATGCAGTAGTACCCCCAAAGTATGCTAAAATCAGTACACTCTACCCACCAAAGGTTTTCTCAAATGTATAATGCTTCCACTTAAGGCAAAGTGTTCGTAGGCTGAAATACAGTTTTTTATTCTTAGTATCCAGCTGCTTCTTAGTCATTTTCCCTTTTCCCTCATGAAAATGTAAGCCAATGTTTAAATAAGCATTCATAATTCAGATCTACAGTAAAATGTGTCTTCTGCCAACAGGTTGTTCGCCAATTTATAATTTGAACAGCACACTCTGTTCTTATCAGCAGACTACATGTCTGCTCAAGAACTTCCATTCCACCCATTGGCTCTGACAGACCAATCTGTTGTGTGGTGAATGACTACAAAGACCAAACCGACACAAGACCATATTTATTATGAAACAAATAATACAGAAACATGCCCCCTCCCTCTGCCCTCTTCTAATGATATTCTTCCTAATTATTCCTCCTTTACAGCCCACAACAGAATATATGGGATAATGGCAGTGGGTAATTCATGGCTGATTACTAGAGATGGGTATGAATAAAAAATGTGATTTCTTATGATTTTTTTCTGATTTGATTTGTCAATTCATTTTTTACTTAAAAACCCTATAAAATGGCCCACCACCACCTAGAGAAACCAAATTTACAGAGAAGCTTTCCTTGACTTTTCTCTACAAGCCCCACAAGTTTAGTGCAGTTTGGGTTTCGTATGTCTGAGTTATACACCCACAAGGAGAGCCCCCTAGGAAAGCTCCCCACAGACACTTACAAACACGGAAATTACAGAAATGTTTCTACTGACTCTCCTTTACAATCTCTCCAGGTTTGGTAAATATTGGATTTCAGACATCCACCTTATACATCTATAAACTGCATCCCCCCATGGAACTGCCTTTTAGCAACTGGCATGGGGAAACCCAATCTTCATCAAACTTCGAGGGATTGTAGAGGAGAATCAGTATAAGTTCTCTGTGATTTTGGTGTTTCTAGATGGCTTGGAGGGGGGACTTTCCGGTGGGGGTCTCTTTGTGGGTGTATAACTAGGAGATCTGAAATCCAATCTTCACCAAACCTGGAGGGATTGTAGAGAAGTATCGGTGGAAGCTTCTCTGCAATATTGGTGTCTCTAGGTTTCTGGGGGCGTTTTAGAGCCAAATGAATAAATGAGTCAAAAGTCGCTAAAATTCATTGATTCGTATTTGTCAGGGGCATTGATTCATATGAATATGAACTGACAAATTAGCGGGGTTTTTAAATGAATTTGGTGATTCATTTTTAGTTCATGCCCATCCCTACTGAATATGTGTTTTAAAAAGTGCCTCCAATTTATATACATTTATATCTGCTTCCTGGTGGCCCATGAATTGTTAGTTGAATCCTGCCATTCACAGGATTGCCATGGTGCAAACTGCACAAATTTTTCAATCAGTTTTCAACATATCATTGTGTACAATGTTTGCAACAGAGAGAACAACAGTTATAAAAATCAAGTCAGCAATGTATTAGAAAGAAGATGCAAAGTTAGTAAAACCCAGTGCATCTAGTACCTGTGCTAGAGTGATTACCAATGGAATCAAGCCTGACTAAGTCTCTGACGAAGAGTGTGTGCTCCTCACTGTTAGCATCATTAGAACTATCCACACTACCATGGCTCACCGTGTCCCCATCACTTCCACCACTGACCATCCAAGGAGCTGAGAATGTGAACAATAGTGCCATAGTTACAAAACTGTGAAATTAACACAGCAACTTTTAAGATTACAAGAACATCACTCAGTGAAAGATAACTACATGTCATTTTCATAAAATACATGAAACTCTGACACTTCTAGGATTATATTTTCAGTCCCCTTCTATGAATATTTGAGACCACCCTCCACCTCAAATCTCTTTATCACAGTAAGAAGGGACTTTATAATCTCATTCTAAATCAGCTAGGTTTTACTCAGTTTAGTAACTATGGAGCTACCTGGTACTGAAGTAACCTGTGGATTGCGTGTAGACTTTTTGAGACATTGCTTAAATTGTGCCATGCTGTATACCACATTCCGCAACTTCGTCCAAAGAAATACACCACTGCGATTACTGCTAGGCCATGGGCTCTCCAAAACTGCCTGGAAAAGTGAAACCATTAAGCACATTCCATAAAGTCAAAATGTGATAATTTTACAACTAAGCACATACTTCCCCAATCCACCTTCTGCAGTCTCAGGGCCAATACTGTTGCATCATTGCTGCACGGATCAGAATAAGCATATAAATATCAATATTTTGGAGAAGCAGGAACTGTATCCTCAACTGGATTTTTCCATTACCAATATTCTGGCTTCCAGTCAACAACTGATTAAAAATGTGATTGATCACTAACTCCAACAAACAGGGGCTCAAACCCTCTTTTTAAAAACACTATAAGCTGTATTTCAGGATTGTCCCCCAAAGTTGCTTTCTCTTGGAGATAGGCACATCTTAAATTTCTATAGTATGAATGGGCCTTACCTCTTCATTCCTTCTGTCAGCGACACCAACTAGACTTAGGGGGAAAAGGTTCTGTTTAGCAGAGCTCAAAGTGTTACGGAATGGAGAGCTTAGTCTCAAAAAATGACTCTCTGCCATCCTTGAAAAAATGCACACACACCTCAGCAACTTGGTTAAGAGGGGGGAAAGGTTACGTTGCTTTCAGAGGACAAGACTGATCTCTGCATGCTTAAAAATTATTTCTGTATTAGCCACTGAGTTGGCAAGTTAAGAATGCACTGTGACACCAAGTTAACGTCAATGTCAAGGAATTAGTGATCTCCTAAGTAAGAATTCTAGGTTTGCTTTTCAAGTGATGAAAACCAAAGTGAGGTCACTAAGAAACAACATAGAAATATCAAAATGGTCAAGGGATTCCTTGCAATTTTGGAAATAAAAAAATCACAACTCAGTGAAAACCAAGAGTGACAGTATATGAACCAGAACGTGCATCGGGCATGAGAAAAATTAATTCAGCACCAATCCATGTTAGTAATGCTACCAGTGTTTTTCTGATGGCACATAACTTTTTAAAATGGAGAACAGCAGAAACTGAAGTGGCATAATGCACTGTAAGGCCATAGACAACATTCCCTCTAATTTTCCAGAGTGCTGTGTGGAGGCTCCGCCCCATGCACATGGAGTTCTGGCCATGATCAGAAGCAAATGGGCAGAAACACTTGTCCCACACAGTTTGAGCTACAGCATCACTCTTTTTAGTACCTTACACAGTTATTGTGTACCTTAGCACAGTTATTGTGCCACTTACTGCTGCTTCCTAGTAAACAAATCAACTGTTATTAAGTGAAGATCTTCTCACCATCTTGTAAGGGTCAAATGCATGAAGCCTGGACAATACTGTTAGAGCACTAGAGAACTTTAACACCCCTTAGTAGTTTGAGTCTATGGTGGTTCATCACAGTTAACATTTAACCCTGAAAGGTTAATGCTGAAAATAAATAATCATGACAATCATATAATTTGGATATGTGTCATTTACTTGTTCCTGCCTCGTTACAGTAATTAATTGATCTGATCTCCTGGCTGGCTTGCTAAAACTGCAGCTTCCAATCTTGATCCATATCTCTTCAGAGAATGAGAATAAATCACTATTTTCACTCATTGCTTCTATGCAAAAATTCTTAAAGATACTTCAAAGTTATTGAGAATATGTAATAGGCATGTTATTTCACAAATGGTTCTTCTAGTTATGAACAAAGCTTAAAATGTGTGGAAACTGAACTTCAGTTATAGGCAAATACTTAAGTCAGACAAATATATTAAAATTGTAAGGTTTTAGATAAAAAAGTTACAGACAAGAACGTAAATCTCATCTCAATCAAAAAATATAGGAGTCCTCAAATTGAATCAGGTGCCACAAAGCTGATGACAAATGATTCTGAATTAAGACAGATGGAACAGAGAATGCAAGACTTTTTTCATTTGAACTGGACAGACATGCACAACAAATTACAAGCGTTAGACAAAAAAGTAGAGGACTTGGGAATCCAAGTGAATGAGAATTAACAGAAAATCCTGAAAAACAGGAAAACCATCTTGAAGCTAACAAAGTAAGTGAATATGCAAGACAATAGGCTGGCTGAATTGGAACACAATGAATGGGAACAAAATTCAGAAAAAATACAACAGGAAAGAACTCTGACGTTGATTTATTTCTTCAGGAGCCAGTCCTACAATAGGCATGAGTAACTGTGTTATAATTACTCTTAAATCTTCTTCGCGCTCTTCTATGTTTTGAAAGCATAGTATATATGAAGCTTTTCCGATCTCCAGATAAGTCATTGGAACACAATGAATGGGAAGAAAAATCAAAAATAATACAGCAGGAAAGAACTCTGATTTATCTGGAGATCGGAAAGGCTTCATATGTACTATGCTTTCAAAACACAGAAGAATGGGAAGAAGATTTAAGAGTAATTATAACACAATTACTCATTCCTATTGTAGGACTGGCCCCTGAAAAAATAAATCAGAGTTTACACATCGCATGGAGATCTTTAACTATTTATACAAGGAACAACTGTAAACTGAGAGAGATTCAGGTGTTTGGAAAGGTCAAAATTATAAAATATTGAAGGAAATTCCCTGGAGAGTCAGAAATAAAAGGGCAGACTATAAACAATTAACAGAATTTTTGATGAAAAAGCAATTAGCTATAGATGGATCATCCCAGAAGGTGTGCAATTCTACTGTTAAGGTCAGTGACAATATATAAGCACCATGCATAAAGCAGAGGCCTTCTTGGACAGGTATGGAGGAACAAGGGAGAAGAAAAGAAAAGAGGAAGAAGTTCAAAGGAGAGATACAACAGAAGGCAGGAAATCCGTAGACTCAGAAAAAGCCCAGGAAAGCAAAGAAGAATCTGAAGAAGAGGAAGAAGGAGAACAAGAAGAGGACGACAAGGACGTGGAGACCTAAGAGGCAAAAAAATCTAAAGTAGCACAGATTCAGACCAGATCGACAAGGAAGAGGGAGGACTATGGAGGTAGTAAGCAAACAGGAAATGTCTAAAAATCAGCTGAGACTAATCACTATTAATGTAAATGGATTGAATGCACCTGGAAAATGGAAAAAAAATATCAGCTTAAGAAATTGAATTTAGACATTACATGCATACAAGAAACTCATATTTTAATAATGACTTGAAATATTTGGAAATGCCAAAATTAGGGAGGCTATTTGCTGCATCAGACAACAAAAAAGAGAGGATCTGAAACCTAAACCAATTTTTGCATCGCAAGATGGAAGAATATTGATGGTAGAAATTCAAAGAGGGAAGGAAAAAACATTGATAGTGAATATTTATGCCCCAAATAAAAATCAAGAAAATTTTTTCAAAGAACTACAAAAAGAAATGGCAGATAAAGAATACAAAGATATTCGCTGTGTAGGGGACTTCAGTGCAGTTCTAGATAGAAAACTGGACATAAACAGTCACACGTTAAGTAAAGGGAAAAAAGAAAGGACTATATTACTGAAAACCTTCCGGTTTATAGCAGAAGAGTTCCATTTGGTAGATGCATGGAAAGCAACACATATAAAAGAGAAAGATTACACATTCTACTCAAACTGAAGGAAGGGAGGGTCGATGCACAAGGTGGCCAGCTCTAAAGCCCTGCGAGTGGAGGTGATGGCGGCAAGGAATAGTGTCTTCAACGAGAAGGTATTCCGACGCAGTTGCCAGTGGTTCAAATGGGGGACGAGAGAGGCAGTGCAGTACTAAAGGAAGGGACCACTGTGGAGGTGGTGAGGGAGCAGGAGGACGCGTGTTGGCAATACCATGCAGGAACTGTTTAAGCCTTGGGTAACAAAAGAGCATGGAAGCGCCTGAGGTTTGAGGTTGGTGAGTGATGATTGCAGAGGTAGACCTTCAGTGTTGAAAGGGATAAACAGTTGTGAAAGAGATGTGATAGAAATCGGAGAACAGTGTCCAGATTCATAGGCAACGTAAGTAAATTTAACTGTATAGCAAATTCCTTGAAGCTACGTCACTTGTAAGAGTACAAATTAGTTGTGGACAGCTTACGTGCATGGGCCAGGATCTCATTTACGGAGGCTGTGAATAGTTAAATAAAGGAGGGGAAGGGAGTAGATGCCTCCCTGTTTGTTGAGGTAGAAGAGGGCTGTTGTGTTGTCTGTAGTGATTTATATAGTGGTACCCGTGATGAGTGGCCTGAAGGTTTTGAGAGCTTTGAAGATGGCGAGGAGCTCTATGTTGTTTATGTAGAATAATTGTTCTTTGTATGACCATTGATCGTGAACTTTTATATCGTTGCAGTGAGGTTCCATCCTGTGGTGCCGGCGTCTGTCACTATTTGGGTTGTGGGTAGTAGAGGGGAGAAGAAGCGACCCATGAGGAGGTTGTATGGTGCGTCCCACCATTGGAGTTGGGAGGAGAGTTCTGGCTTACTCATAGAGGTTTGGATTGGTTGTCTGTCATGGGGTCGAAGAGGGTTGAAGGGAGCGTAGCTTCAGTCTGGCGTGAGGAATGGTGGAAGTTGTTGAGGCCATGAGGCCCAAAAGATGTTGGGCAGTGTGGGCTGTGATGAGAGCGTGTGGATGGAATTGCCGTAGTAAGGTGTGGATCTTTATGATTCTTTCTTGAGGAAGAAAGGCTCTCGCCCATGTGGAATCTAACTCAGCGCCGATGTAGGTAATGCGCTGTGTGGGTGTAAGGATGGACTTTTGTTTGTTGACTTTGAGACCCAGATCTACCAGGAGGGAGAGGGTGACCTGAATGTCCTTTAAGGCTTGTGATTGGGATGGAGCGACCACAAGACAGTTGTCTATATAGGGAAAAATTGTAACTCCCAGGGTACGAAGGTGCGCCGCCATGGGAGCCATGCACTTTGTAAAGACTCGTGGCGCTGTGGAGAGACTGAAGGGAAGGGCTTTGAATTAGAAGGCGTAATTGCCTACAGCGAACCGCAGGTATTTCCGATGCTGGTGGAGTATAGAAATGTGAAAATATGTGTCGCTGAGATCTATGACAGTGAACCAGTTGCCTTCTTGAAGCATGGGTAGTATTCATTCTAGCGTGACCATCCAGAAACTTTTGGAATAGATATAATAGTTGAGA